CGAACAAAATTTAGTATGTAGTGGTAACTTGACACCATGCCCCACTGTCGATTAAATTGAGATAACAAAAATGTTACAACGGCATTAATTGTAGCTTCTTTATTACGAATTTGTTGTGGAAAGAAAAAATTTGTAGCTTTCGTTTTTTAAGAAAAATGGTATGTAGGCTAACTCGTCACCATATACCTAGTCGATAGAATTGAGATATTGAAAGTGTTATAACGGAATTAATTGTAGCAGTAACAGTCAGGTGTTTGTGCGACGTGAAGTGACCAGTCAGGAGTCCCGTCTTCTCAGTGAGGAAAAAACTGGATAGACCTTCTGAGATTGAAGGTAACACGAGTTTTGCCCACCTGCATCCACTCGATGGCTCCCAGTCATTTCTGAGCGAGGTATCCACCCAGTTTCTTATGGTGGCTTCGATGGCCGAAACGGAGAGTGCTATAACTAGTTGCGGATCGAGGAATGCCTGGTCCAAGCCAACTGTGGCAAAAGGGTCAGATGTCTCATTTGCAGGCACCTCCGAGTTGCCCGGCACCCATAGTAAAGGAAGCTCGTTATCTTTACAAACATAATTTAGCCGAGACTTGCATTGCCGAACTAGTTCGGAAGTACTTAGAGGGCTAACCAATGCCTTCAGTGCAGCTTGGTTGTACCTGTAGACAGGTTTGGAGCCATCAGTGAAGATTCGGAAATGTGCGAGTGCAGGCTCAGCGCTGGAATTAAACCAGCATTACCCTCGGGGAACTCTCTCTCTCTCTAGAATGCCTTCAGCAAAGGTAATGGTGGCATACTATCCAGTAGCATTGAAAAGACACAAGTGCTCAAATATCTGCCGCCGGCAATTTTCGCATCGCCTCACTCAGTGTTATACCAACATACGTTTGTTTTTATTCTGTAGGTGGCCTTTAAGGTAAGCTGACCAACCGTCCTACTTTGAGGAGGAATGTCCCGTCCTCCTCAAAAATTTTGGCCTTCTCTGTCCTCCTTTTGAGCAAAAATGTCCTCCTTTTCAAGTTTTATAGCAGTGATGAAAATTAAAAAAAAAAATTCGTTCAGAATATTATTATTTCCTAATCGTACACAATCATTGTATTATCAATTATTTATTCAATCAATTATTTATTGACAAAAATACTGTTCATTCTATAAAAAACACCCCGTAAATTCACATTTTAAACTTTGTGCAAAAATTATAAATATTTACCAAATTTTTACCAAAAATTTACACTTTTAATAAGAATTTTAGTTTTGCGTATGCAGTTTTATAGCTCATGCATTTTAGTATAATAAAGTGCGAAATTCATATGGCTACAAAATAACGTTGATTTTTGGCATACAAAGTATGTTCGAAATTTTTTTATATATGTGACCTGGTCTACGGAAAGGGGGCTTAGGTGTCAAAAAATCAATTTTCACTTTTTGGTTGATTCGGATGGAAGATGAGATGCTTTTTCACGTGGTGAAAAGCAGAAAATCCTAACTTGCTTAGAAGTGTACTAAAAATGTAGAGAAAGTGTTACTTTTTTAAATGTTCCACACTAGCAACTTACACGATGAACTATAATAATATTCCGACCAACAACAACACTTACTGGACGTCCGGCGCGGAGAACAATTAACGAGATAATGAGAAACTGACGAAACGAGTTGCTTACTTTTAACAGCTTTTTCACAGAAAACTAGTTTTCGCACGTAAGCTCCCTTTTCGTAGACCAGGTCACATATATATTTGGAAGAAACTTAACAACACTGTCAACAAAAAAAATTCACGGTAATATGTTTCGGTCTTATAATTATGCAACTCGTTTGACTTGTGTTTAGAGCAACCATGAATTGTGTTTGCTTTTCTTAGCAATGTTAACTTATTCGTTATTTATGTGTTAAAATAAATATAAAACAAATCTTTTGTGTTTTTAATGTGGAGTATTTGTCCTCCTGGAATGCTAAAAAATTCTGGTCACCTTATTTAAGGCTTCCCCACGTATGATGACACAAAGTGACGGTAGGTTCACCAGTGCGTCAAGTGCACTATACATTAAAGTTAAATAAATAGGCTATCAAACAACCATTTGGTTCTTCACTTCGAGACCAGATGATTTTTCGAGGACCCCCACTTACAACTCGTTCACACCCATATTTTTTTTTCGCCAACGTAGACCCCTGTCGAGTCTCCCGTGGACTCCTGGGGTTCCATCTGGACCACTTTGGGCATCAGTATAGTATCCGGAAAATTTATTTATTTTTATTTTTTATTTAGAATAACGTCTTGTCCGGCTATGTGGTATACAGGTATGTAGAGCTATGAATTGAAAAAATACATTAGGTTTTAGTTGAGATATTCGCTTTTGACCACTATGTTCTGTACATTTCCCAATGCTGCAAAGCTTTTGTCATTCGCCTGGAAGTGACCAGAAGTGATTTGTTTTCTTACGGTTCAAATCTCAGCTCAATTCGTCCGGATATTTATATCCACGTATTCCCTGGGTAGCGACCAAACACCCGTTTGGGAGCGAGCTAATGTGACAAGACGTATAACCAGGCGTGCGCTGGCTTTGGGTCCCTGCACGTTAAAACCCTACCCAATGAAAAAAAAAACCATGGGGATAGGCGATGACGGCAAACGTATAAAGGACTATTATTTGAGGGTATGCAACTGGAATATCCGGACCCTTAATAGGGATGGTGCCTATGCCTTCTGACGACCACAGAACCAAACGTGAACGTGAATTGTTGGTAAAAACGTTGGACCAAATTTAAAAAAAAAAATTAATTTTGGGTGGGACGAAGGCCGCAAGGTCTGCTAGTAATAACGTAAAACCCGATTTGTTTTTTTTTTTACTCGTAACTTCAGTTCTGCTTAGATACAAAACTTTAAAACCAAAGGTTTGTCTCTACGGGAAGGCATTGGTGTTATTGAAGAGATTAAAAATAATTAACTCAAATGGAATATTTGGAAACAATTAAATTCAGTCCTGAAAAGAAATTAAGGATTCATATCTTAGCATAATATAATCGGCATTATTTTTGATAATAGTAAAAAAGTGACAACTAAATCGATTCATTAACACCACTAGAAATATGAAAATTTCGAATTCCGTCCAATCCTTGAAATAAACTGAATAAAAAACAAAGCATTAAACTGTACCTAGATTTTTTGTTGTTTTTCGAGCATATTTGGAAGCTTATTTACTTATGTTTTAATATTTATCTAAGCGCTTAAAATTGCTTTTTTCCTGCTTATTTTCTTCGGTCCTGCTCATCACACATCACTTTAACTGAAACACCACTTTGTAGTTTTTCCAGAATACTGGTTAATCAAAGAAATGCAAAAAATTCAAATTTTGTTTGCGTGGCATGCAAAGTAGTAGGTATTGAGGTAAAATTGTTTAGAAAAATGCACTTATAAAGGTTACAATGTTTTGCTTTAGAGACTTGCATTAATCAAGGAATTGCACGTATTTAGGGTTGCGGTTACCGTTACGAATAATTATAAGGCTCAAACTACGAAAAACGCGTTTTTATACCTTAGGTTCAGATTGTGAGGAGGTATTCAAAATTTTAAGTATGCACATTTTTTGTGCTTTCAATGCTTCCTCCTCGTAAAAAACATGTGCAGTAAAAAGTAAATTATTTAAATCTACGAATAGTTTTATATCAACTTTTGTGAACTTCTATTTATGTGTTTGTGTACAACATGCTTCTATTGGTTCCAATAAGTTTAAGCTATAATAACAATTTTTAGTAATAATTATTGGTTTTGAAAACAAAATTTGTATAGGGCCCCCCTAAATTTCGTTCTGGCTACGCCCATGTACAAATCTACAAGTGTTCATATCACAAGTTTTGTGTGAACTTTCGTGAAGCGAAATTTAGAAATTTTTGTAAAATGAGCACTTTTACCTTGTAGCTTGTAAAATGTAAATTTGAAGTAAATGCATAAGTATGTATGTATGTACATATGTATGTCTTTTTAAGCTGATTTCATTTTTTCAACTCTTTAAAATTTTGTCATAATGCTATCAAACATTAGGTATACTCGCGTATTCTTCCAGCAGAAAAAAAATATAAATAGAGAAATGGGAATGCATTTTTATTTGTTCTCTCTCAAGGAGAGAAATGTTTGTAAAAGTACACGAACGCTAAACTATAAAAAAACTTGCAAGTTTAACGAACAGCTGTTGGCTAAGCTAAAAGTGGCTGCCCTAATTGGGACTTCTTTCTCATTTATTTCACGAATACACGTTTTTTGGTTAGGACGAGTTATAAAATATTATTATTCATTATATTCTTCAGTAAAAATGGACAAACATGCCTCTTCCTTATTTTATTTTTGGCTGCAACACTAAATTTCAATTTTATAACTGGCAAGAATCGCAACCGGCTGATTTTCGATAAGCTGTTTTCTTGCTGTCAAATTGCTGCTGTCAAAAAATTTTTCCAGCAGAAAATAGCAGCTTCTCAACAAAATGAAATGTCACTGCTCTCTCAACTTCCTCTACTTTGGTGGATTTTTGTGTACGCAAACAGCAAATAGATTTCGATAGTTGTCAAAAATAATCAATATGCGAGTAAACCTATTGTAGACGTCAGCAAGTCGCAATAGAAGAGCATACCGTCCCCAAATTCTTTTTTAATTCTTCCTATGCTTCGTATATTAATGAGTAGCGTATTTAGGGGTTGATTTTTGCGTATTCTGTTTGTAAAGCATACATACATATGTAAGTATGTACATATGCACATATTCTGGCAACAAAATTTTTACAAAACGTAACTTTTGGAATAAATTTAGATATTTCATAGTAAAATCATGCTTTTCTTCACAATGGTTCAACAAACGAAAATATTTTTTCAATCAAGGAAAGCAAACGAATATTTTTCACCGGCACTATTCCAGAGCACACAACTTTACTGATTGTGAAAGGTACAACTTTTTTAATATCACAAGGGAAACTAATGTGTCATTGATTAAGGCTTAAAGACCTATGTATATAAAATACCTTTTTTCATAGCGTACACGGCTCGAATAGAAAAATCGTTTTCGTTAAATGCTTTCCAAAAACGGTAGTTATTATTACCGCCCTTTATACAGCGTTGCGCCAGTGATACTGTCGACTACAAACTGCTCATAATTCACAGGAACAAGCTGTTTACTGCTCATACAGTATGTACGGAAATGTGTATTTACATGCGTATTTATGTACATACATGTACATTAGACTGCATCACTCCCCATACAAAAAGAAAATCGGTACTATTTTTCCATTGGAATTATAAAATCTACTATATTTTAAGACGTCCACCAAAATACATATTTCGGAAAAATATTAAGACTTAAGTGAGCTGGACCGATTTGAAAATACCTCCATAAATGGTTTTTTTTTTATGAATAAAATTAGTTTCTTTAAGATTTCTTTTGAAAAAATCCCCTCAAATGACAAAACGGCTTAAGCTTAAAATATTTGCATAAAAATATTTAAAAAAAAATTAAAAAAAATTTTAACGGAATCGTAATGATGACGCTGTTTTTAGCATTTTTCAAAGATTGGTATAAGAAAAACTTGAATAACTGAACCTAAACTCTTCCGATTTAGACTTAAGAGGTGTCATTGCAAAGGTATTTGCTCACCCTTTTCATTTATTTGCTAATAAACTTATTCAAAGGATGGAAGAGAAAGGTAGGAGAAACGAACCTCATTCAAAGTTGAATTAAGATCTTTGGTATTCGAAAAAAAAGATGGGACACGAATGACGCTTTTTTTGGCCAGAAATAAAAACGGTGTGAAAATACCTTTCTACTGAGATCCCATAAGTCTAAATCAGAACATTTTTGGTCCAGTTATTCAAGTTTTTCGTAAATCAATCTTTGAAAAAAGTAAAAAAACAGCATCAAAAATCTCATTCTTACGATTCCATTGAAAAGATTTTTAAATATTTTTATGCAGATTTTTTAAGCTTATTCCAATTTGTCTTCTGAGGGGACTTTTTAAAAAATGTTCTTTAAGAGACTATTTTTATTCATAAAAAACTTCATTTTTGGAGGTATTTTCAAATCGGTCCAGCTCACTTAAATCTTAATATTTTTACGAAATATTTTGGTGGACGTCTTAAAATATAATAAATTTAGTAATCCCGGCGGAAAAACCGCAACTTTTTTTTGGTGATGCAGTCTAATGTACATGTATACACACATACATGGACATGTATACATACATACATACATATGCCTTACTGAAGGCAATCCAGTGCAAAAGAGGGGAAAGCAGATTTTTATTAATATCGTTGGATACTTAGCCACCGTTTATGAATTAAAAAGTTACTGGTTTTATTTTTTCGTTAGAGCTAGTAATAAACGGTACATGTAAATATGAATGTATGTATGTACATAGTATGTGTAGTGACCAAAATTCAGTTTTGAAATAGCGAGAAGTCAAAACTGACACTTCCTTTCGCAATCGTACATATGTATGTACTGCCTGATTTGGCTGATTACATATTGCGTCTGTTACTATTCCATATTGTATACTTCTAGGCCGCAATGCTTTTCATTTAGCAATTCTAGAATCCTACCACGGGAGTGCTTGTTTTTGTGAATCTTATGCTGACATTAGTCAAGAACGTAAAACATCTGGTGCGTAAACTGAGTCAGATGAAACGATCTATCTTACAAGCAGTGGTATTCCGACAATCTCTACGCTAAATTTACATCGCTAAAATTCTCTAAATGAAAAACAGTGGGGCCTAAAAGTATGCAAACATAAAAAAGTAACAGATGGAATGTGCATTCAGTCAAATCAGCAATATGAGGGGCATGTCATTCGATGTTGCATGTTTTTAGGCGCGCCTGCTATTTTTTAGCTATCAAAATTAACAATAGCGGATGTTGGAATCCGGCTGCAGAGTGTCATGTGAATGTAAGCAGAATTTCTGCGCTACGAGGTATAACCAGGGATGCCGTTTGGATCTAAATAGATCCAATTGGATAAATTTTTCAACGAATTTTTGCGGGATACTTATTTTTTCCGGTCAGTATAAATGTGGATACTTTTTTAAATAGGGCAAAATTTTATATTTCCAATAAAGTTTTTTTCGTTCAAAAATCGATTTTCATTAAAGATGGTAGAAAGCATTACGTTTTCTAAACGTATAAAGAATCGCTACCTACTTAAGCGTGAAATTAAAGCATTTTATTTTTTGTGAACGAAGCAAAGAACATATAAAGAGATCTCACCAAAATAGGTATAAGCGCAATTGCTTTAATTAGCTTAAAGGGATGCTTTAAGCAAGATCTTAATATATATAGAGATCGTTTAAAGTAGAGCAGGGATACAATCGATAGTACCGCCACTCGATAGTTTTCGAAAAGATAGTTGAAAACATCGATAGTATCGATAGTACTATCGTCGTGAAAGGTATTGAATTGAAACGCTCAATTGCTTGAAAATTAAATAATAATTAAGTTTATAAAATTTATAAATTACTTTGTAAATTAAAGAGATTGCATATTTTCTTTTTAATTTGAGTGCACCAAAAATAACTTTTTCTAATAATAAAATAAACTTTTTAATTTATGCGTCTGAATTATATAACTTATATACATACCCTTGCATCCCCTTGAATAGCGACAGGCAAAATCTGAATTTATTTTGTATATGGCAAAATTAAAATCGGATTGTGTTTGTCCCTTTTAAAGTGCAAAGAAGTGAAATTGGCTATAAAAGAACATTTATAACACTACAAAACAAACAAATTAAAAGATATTCGTTTAAATTGACAGCTCATTCTTATAAATTTCAACTGAGATCAAATACGGAGGCGCATATCAAAATCCGGACAAGGGAAATTATTAACATTTTACCATTTTATAAGAAAACGAATATAGTACTGCTCAAAATAATAGCACCACAACATTTTTTAGCAGTTTTGACTACTTTTTTTGTTTATTTAGTGTCTACTAATTTTTTATAAAAAATGTACAAAACATAAAAAACTACAATATAATTAAAAATTCAAGCTTTTTAATTCGAATTTCTATAAAAATTTTGTGTAAGCACTTTTATAGCTTACTAAATTTTACTATAACTCAGTGTAAGCTTATAGTTGCTAAAAATCCCAATGACTAAATTTTTTTTTTGCCGACGTGTTGTGAATTTTCTTGCATAAAAAAAAATTAATGTAATGTGTAGAGATGTAAAGAAGAGACATTGTGAAGTCTTGTTAAAACCGACATCGATAGTTTTCAAAAACTATCGATAGTGGCGACAGTTTTCAACAATCGATACTATCGATATATTAAAGTACAAAACCGCGTATCAACAAAATGAAAAACCGCGTATCAAGATAATGCAAAACCGCGTATGTGACGTTGCATAAATTATTTTCTAGAGAGTAAAAACACTTACATTTCAAATGGCATCAAATGTCAGTTACGCGGTTTTGCATAATGACGATACGCGGTTTTGTACTTTAAACGACGATATATATAAAATAAATTATACTCTTTCTGTAGTAATCTCTTTCATATCACATATTTTTATTTGTTAATTTAAAAAGAAAGAATATTTCAATGTAGTTAAAAAACTAAATTTTTTTTTATTTAAGGAAACTTTTATGAATATTACTGAAAAGACTTTAAATACACTCTAAAAAAATTTGTTTATTTGCGCATATTAAGAGAGGTAACCAGTTTACTCTTTTAATTTGTGCAAATTTGCACACCGTGTAATAAAATCAATCATTGCCTGTTTACTTTTACATACCGAATTTGTCGCAAGAACAAAATTACACATAAAATGTTCAAAATAAAGTAATGTTTATTAATAGTAGGAAATGTATTTGTGGTTTGAAAATTTTTGCAATTTCAAACATTCTATATATGTGTATTTATGTGTATATTTTACAGATCTCAAGTTCAAAATCAAATACTGAACATCTTATACGTATATTTATACAGAATCTTGTTGAAAAATAGTAGATACTTTTCAGTAGTAGTTTTACATGCTCTTTTTAGAGTGTACTTGCTATTTATCACAGCGCACGGCAGTGCCCGCGAGTGACGAAAGCAGCCACAGTAGCATGCTGAAATGACTCGCTTATATATACACGAGATTTGGAACTTTTCATCCAGACGTCCAATCGACATGTTTGAGATATCGTTGGAAAGGTCTTACAGAGTGTGTTCAGAAAATGTATTCAAGCTTCATAAACGATTAACCGGATTCTTAAAAATTAGGCTAAAGTGTTGCGAAACAAAAAACATTTTTTGACTTTTGCCGGTTTGCCGGGCATGTGGGCACAACCAACATATTTAGTGTTATTCTACAGGCCAATACCTTTCAAACGATACCTCATATATTACGCTCCGGCTACTAGTTGGAAAGATATAGAGGTAAATGTCTTTTGGTTCGTGTCTCCACTACGAGATGCTTTGGTATGTATGTGGCGTCTGTACGTACCTTCATTTAATTTCTTTCAAACTTTCAGGAATTAAAGAACAGAAAAAACTAAGAAGGTTTTGTTCCAGGATGTTTTGATTTGTATGCCTTTGTGGGCGTGGCTGCTGCCGAAAATTCGAAAAAAGGCAATTTTTAAACTACCACTGAGGCCACACTACTCAGTCCATGTCATTGATGTGGATATCAGTAGAAGGGTATTCAAACAAGCTATCTAACGCTATTTTTTGCGTTTATAAAATATAAATATGTCATAACGTTATCGCCTGAAAACTAAACATCGAGCTGCTGAAAATATACATTTCGGGAATTTTCTCAAAAACTGGTCCGTCTATTTTATTCTAGGTTTCCACAAGTCTAGCCCAGAACCTTAGCTTTCATCTGGTATATAGCTTATATCTGAGAAAGGTCTTGTTGTGGAGATATTGCGATTCAAATTGAAAAAATGTCGCTCAAAAAAGGGTCAAATGGTTAAAAATTAACATATCCGTCTAATTTGGTTACTTTAAGATATAAAAATTTCCCGCGAGTTGACAAGCTGAAGGATGCAGCTGTGCTAATCACTTCGTACATGTCTTGGGAGCCACAATCTATGTGTATTTTAGAGTTTTTTCACATGCCGAAATTGTAACATTTTTCCCCATTTTAATTACAGGTACATATGTACACAGTATTTATTTA